TTTTGGGCTTGTACTAACAACGAGCGTCTCGTTAGAGAGTATCAAAGAAGTGACAGCCGCTGCTGGGAGAGATTCTGACTTTTTGTTCCTTCACACCGTTCCAAGGCCTGGTGAAGATACCCCGGGTCGAATTACGGTGAAGACTTTCCTCGAGCCATTGAAACTCCTCCAACGACGGCTCAACTTCTTAATTGATGATACGACCGCTGTTGAACCTCTGGGGCTTGAAGCAATCTTTAATGCTCTGAATAAAATGGAAGCAGATGCGGCAACACGGACTCCTAGCGCTGATAGCTGGGAAGACGTGGGCATGGACGAGAAATTATCTGGAGAAGACGCTGCAGCTCAAGGGCCACGGAAGGATATTCGGCCGGCCATCTACATCGAGAAAGGCTTAGATATGCATTCAAAGAAGGGCAGTAACGGCAAAGACGTAATGAAGTTCAGATTGCCAACTCAACCCGTTCAATATGTTCCTCAAGGCAACCTTCATCTTGCAGCAGAGAGGGTATTTGATCTCAGCCCTAAGGCGGTTTTCCATATTCTATTCGGCGACAAGAGCGCTGTCTGGCAGCTCCTTTTGCACCAAAGAAGGGCTCGAGGTAAGCTACATGAACCCGTATGGAAGGTACAGCATTGCTGACTAGCTTGAAGATATCAAGCAGGGACCTTGGTCTCGCAATGAGTCTAACCATTTGAGGAGAGATATCAAGTACCAAATTGAGACCACGAATATGCTTGGTATGTGAATCGACGTATATGTGTTTTATAGAACTACAACTAATACGCCGTGTACTAGGCCACAAGCACGGCCAGACCATATCTGATTATCAGATGATAGATGTCCTCAATGACCACTTGTGTTACATGATAACGGACAAACGGACTCCCTGGCATCTTCCCTTTAAGCGCTCATTCAGGCTGGTCAGTAAGATTGTGATCACGTTTGTCGCGAAGGGCAAGAGTAAGCTTGCTATATATACTAAGGTGGAGTGGTTGTGGTCACCCTATGGCATTCAACGTGAGTATGACAGAACCAGGTCCGCATAAATCATTGCTAATGATTATCAGGCGTCATTGACAAGCAAGCAACCGGTGACCTAGAGCAAGATGCTCTCGATCTTGTGGATCTCGTGAGCGAACAGGTGCGTAGGCTCGGTGCACATAGCCGAACCAAGAAAGCCATTACAATCTTCGGTCACGTCGGCCGCCAGAACACCGTATCACAATTAGGCGAGTCAGACTTCAAGATAGAGATTCGAAATCCTCGCACTCAGAGGACTTTGGTCCAACTTCTATTTGAGACATTCGTCAGCTTCCTTGAAAGCGCCGTATCATCCGTGATGCTTTGGACGTTTGCCCTCTTTCGCTGGGTCTGGAAAACTGCAAACGCTAATCTAATCATCCTTGCCTTGTTGATATCCAGCATGTTAATTAATGGATTCTATACCTCGCGGGACGCCTATGACTGGTGGTACGAAAGGAAGGCCGAGAATTTCATGGCTCGTCTGGGAGTTCACCCGGACCATGTCATGAGCAAAGCTATTTACATGAGGGACATCGATGAAGTGATTGCAAACTCAACCCTCGGACATGCGAGCGACAACGTGAGTGACTGCTTCGCCACCTTCCATCAGCAAACAATACGGAATGTTGGAACCCCGCTGTCCATCAGTACGTCTGGTCCGAGAGATTCAGCGACAAAGAGTGCAGCCAGACGGCTCCAGCAGACTCGTGAACGTCTGGCTATGCATCGACATGACCTTGTGGTAGGCCTCCGCGTGGTGAACAGCATCGAAAGAGAGATCCTCCAGAACGAATGGGGGCGTTGGCTCCGACAAGAACTGAGGCGTTGTGACCAAATCGAAGCCCTTCTCGGACAGAGTAGTGACAATGACGAGATTGACATGCAGGTGGATCGGACAAGTCAGGTTGCGTTCGCTGATTTATCCGACGACGTCAGGGAATGGTACGAAAGGTATTGTACTAGCTGCCATCAAGAACAAGACTTAGTCGAGGAGAATCACCATGCATATGGCAATTCTTGAGTAGGCGCCAGAGATGTGTGGGTCATTTTGTGTATTCCGGGTCCTCTGATATTTGTTTGAACGATACCCTATTGCAATTAACAGGTCTGTGTTGTCTCATGAATGTGGTCCAAGACAATCCCATGTTTAGCACTTGAATGTATAGCTCAAATTGTATAGCACACCGAAGAGATTTAAGAGATTGTCCGTAACCTCTCATGTCGTGGCCCACACTCGTGATTCGATATGACATCACCCCGTTTGTTGTACTTCCTGTAGTGGATCGCAAACTGGGGTCATAATTGTAATTTGGATAGAGGATTTCTAATTTTGCCGAGGCTTCACAGCACCCTCTTGAACAACATAATAGACCACGGTCCCATCACCGCCCATTCCCCTATCTACCATGGCAAGGAGGAGCCTCTTTCCACCCCACTCCTTCGTGAGACGAGCCTTCTTTCTATATTCGTAGTACTCTACCAGCTTGGCCTTTTTTTCTCCGCTGGCCCCATCATTTGTTTCGTCCCCGTCATTCATTGAAGCCTCCTCAGCCTGAATGTCCACCTGGTCAGGAAGCGCATCGAACACTGACGTCATCTTGCGCAGACTCCACGGTTGGTTTTTAACAGTCGGTAAAACAAACATGCGATCCAGTTCAATGTCTTCTTCACGGAGTCCTCGTTCTAGTAGGTATAGTTGCTCATCTGGATGTGTGTAGACTCGATGCGGAGGTATACCAGAGATTAGATACCGGGGAGCTGTTTGATCTTCTGAAGGTATTGTTGCTAGCTCTGCTCCTAGCGCTGAAGCCCTGAGGTTTGGGTCCTTGAGATCGTGAATTTGAATTGATGTCCATAGGTGTTGGTGTTGGAGGTTGTGGAGGATTTGGACTGTGCTTGCGGAGAGGGGTTGGGAGGATGCGGAGTGGGAGATGAGGTTAGTGAGAGCTGATAGCTCTGGTGTCGCCATAGAGGTGGACTGTATTGATGCCATATTGTCTCCCTTTCCTGCTCTTTAGTCGTTGCCTCTTATCTCTCTTTGTCTGTCTGTCTGTCTGTCTTTTTCTTCTCCTTCTCTTTTTCTTATTTTTTTCTCCCTTCGCTCACTTGTGCCTATGGAATGCGCAACGCGAAATTGGTGAATGTAGAACGCAATCTCAGAATTGATGCGGATGCGCTGGGATGAGCTATTAATTGAGAGCAAAAAAAGAACCAAAAGGATTGTTTCAGCTTGTGGTGCTTGTACCGAACTTCTCTATCGGTGGTGGAGAGAAAAAGTTCCCTTGAAGTGGGGAATGAAACTCCGATAAATTTAATTATTTTATTCACAAAATTAAGTTAGCGTTCCTCTTCTTTGGGAAAAAGAAGAACACATGGCATCATCAGCCTGGACGTCCTTATTTCTGGCCCTGAGACCCCCTGCTATTGTTTCTCATTTTCTGTCTATGTTTTCGCATTTCCCTTCCATTCTTTCATAGAGACTTTCCCTTCGTTTCTTTCTCTGTTTCATCCTACTCTACCTAATCACCTTTGTCCTTCGTTTGATCTTGTTCTACTATAGCTTGTTTCGATGGCGCGCCAGAAGCAAGCAACGCCCTTGCAACGGGCCACTTCGTCTGAATTGATGCACATGGCCCCGGATGGACCTGATTCACAATCAAAACAACAGAATGGCAGCGCTAAGCAGCCTGCTGCCAATGGTAATGCGTCCAAAGGACAGGTCGCGCATGAAGCTGCTCTGGAGACTCCAGGTTTGGCGCAACTTGCGATTTGTGTCCTGGGGATCTATGCGTCGTTGTAAGTGACTTATATTGCCTTTGGCTCTTACTTCGCAAATAACTAACAGTCGCGCAAGTCTCTCTTGGGGTGTCCTTCAAGAAGCGATCACTACAGTCTCATACCCTGTCCGTCCTCCAACTGCAGCTGAACCAGAACCTCCTACCGAGCGCTTCACGTTTTCGATTGTCTTGAACACAATCCAGTCTACATTTGCCGCTATCACTGGCTTCCTGTACCTTTTTTTCTCGACCCCAGCTGGCCAGAAGATACCATCGATCTTCCCGACCAAGAAGATCTTGTTCCCTCTGTTCCTCGTTAGCATTTCCTCGTCACTCGCATCGCCGTTTGGATACGCCAGTCTTGCGCATATTGACTATCTGACATTTATTCTTGCAAAATCGTGCAAGCTCCTGCCAGTTATGTTCCTCCATTTGACCATCTTCCGGAAAAGGTACCCCTTGTATAAATATGGGGTCGTTCTCCTCGTCACTCTCGGAGTCGCAACTTTCACACTGCACCACCCGGGTACAAGCAAGAAGGTCGCCGCATCAGCTGCAAAGAACCAGTCCGGCTCATCCATGTGGGGAATTTTCCTCCTTTCCATCAATCTTCTCTTGGACGGCCTCACGAACACTACTCAAGACCATGTCTTCAGTTCCCCACAGATCTACACCCGCTTCACGGGGCCGCAGATGATGGTAGCGCAGAATGTCCTCTCGACTCTCCTAACCAGCACGTATCTCCTTGTGATGCCCCACCTGTCGTCCACCGGCATTCTGCATGCCGTTCTTCCCATCCCCATTCCCCCGTCTACTGAGACCGAATTAACGTCCGCCATTTCCTTCCTGTCGAGGCATCCGGAAGCTCTGAAGCATGTCTTAGGGTTCGCAGCTTGTGGTGCAGTTGGACAGCTGTTTATCTTCTATACCCTTTCCCGCTTCTCATCTCTGCTCCTGGTGACTGTCACTGTCACACGGAAAATGCTGACCATGCTCCTGAGTGTCTTCTGGTTCGGCCACTCTCTATCGGCCGGGCAGTGGCTGGGTGTGGGCCTGGTTTTCGGTGGCATTGGTGCCGAGGCCATGGTGCAGAGACAAGAGAAGAAGGCGAAAGAGCGGGCGAAGGCTGCAAAAAGCCAGTAAAGTAATACTTAGCTCTTGTATATATAGACTTGTTTTTTTTTTTTTTTTATAAAATCACAGCGCTTTTGATTAGGTTCATGAGGCTCGTTATCGTAGTTCGGTCTTAACATGGTATTATCTCAATTTAATAGTCTCAATACCCTTTCGGATAGAATGATTAATTTTTGCATATGGAAGTTATGCTTTACTTCCGCCCCTCAACCATGATAATATGGTATCCAAATCCAGTCTTCACCTCCACGTACTTCGGGTTTGCCGTCGTACTGGGCTCGAGTTCATATGCTGCCTTCTCAAATGTGCCGTCAAGACTTCCCCGGACCTTCCAGCCAAGAGAACCACCTACGCACAGCCATCAATACATCTCTCCTCATTCAAAACAAGCGCAATAGAAAGGCAAGGACGAGTGATAAAGAAAGAAATAACCACATACCCTGTCTCGCCTTATCCTCCGAGAACTCCCTAGCAACGTCATCAAACTTAGACCCATTGCGGAGCTTCTCCAGAGCCTCCTCCTTCTTGGAGTGTTTCTCGCACTAAATTAAACCGAATATCATTAGAAAATAAATGTCTCATACCCATAACATGATTAATATCGAAGGGATGGCAGTCAATCTACACGTAACCGATTCAACCCCATATACCCCGTTTTATATATATTGCCGAAACCCAAAATATAGGAAGATAGAAAAGAGGAAGAAAAAAAAAGGGGGGAAGGGGAATACATACCAGAATATGCCGCACATTAATCGAAGTAGCTGGTTTCAATCCCTTGCCGCCTTTATCACCTCCATCGTTTCCCTTGCCTTTCTTGTCTCCGCCTTTGTTCTTGGGCGCCATTTTTGGAGGTCGTCGTTATTTTGGGATTGTTTTGGGTAAGTGCCTTTTTTAGACTTCTTCCTTTTTTTTTTTTTTTTTTTTTTTTTTTTTTTTTTTTTTTTTTTTTTTTTTTTTTTTTTTTTTTTTTTTTTTTTTTTTTTTTTTTTTTTTT